CGTTTCTTTCGTGCAGCGCTCGGTCCTGTAACCTGTATTTTTGGGGTGTGTTTATAACCTAAATTGCCTTCTGCGTTAAGGGCGGGAGGATCTGAACCGTGTGTGGCAGCTCTGGGGTGATTTCTGGGGTCTGAAGCCAAAAATTAACCGAGTAACAAGCACTGCCATCACAATTTTTCTCYTTRWGATATCCTTTGCTGGGTGAGGCAACTTGTGAAATTCAGGCTTTATGTTGCCAGCATCCAACACTGCATGTGGCAGCAGCGTGAGCTCACTAGTGAAAGTGAACTCTAATTTATTAGCCATACCAGGAGCTAATAAACTAGCTTCCCCTGCAGTTCCACAGGGGKTTGGTGCGTGATACACAGCAGAGTTGCAATCCAAAGGGGTGTAACCTCAGACCCAGGCTCTTACCCATGGAAACCCTTGTTTGTTAGAAGTTAAACACTTTAAATTTTTTATTTTCTGGTCTAAGACATGAGATAAACGACTAAAAGAGCTCACCCTTGCTCTGACAGAAGTGAATTTCGCGTGCTACAAATTGCTTTYCTATGAGTGCTCTTTCTTGCTGCTACTCCTTCCTGTAATTACACTGACTTTGTTTGCCAGATGTTCGGTGACAACATTATACTGCCGTAGTCTGTTTTCCAGTTGCTTTATYCGTTCCTGGGACAACTCCTTTCTTGCCTTTTCTTTCAGGGAGGAAACAGACAAAGGAGAAGTGGAGGGGAAAAAAAAAAAAATCCTTTACAAATGTTTTAAAGTGCAAAGGCCGGGACAATGGGTTTTGCCCCTCTCTCTGTCCAACTGAAACAATGAAAAGTCCTGCACTTTAATCTCCTTAGCCCCAGGGGTTCTTCTAATTATTGCAGCTGTTGCACAGGCTTATGCATAGTGACGTCCTCCTTCCCATTCATCTCGGAGCCTCTTTCATGTCCATGAGCTCCTCGCTGGAAACCGAGGAGCCTCCAGCTCTGAGAATAGGTGAAGTTTACCTTGTGCATCAGGGCGAGGAGAACAAAGCATTCCCCGAGTTCCTTTCCAGGATTTACAAATGACCAAAGGCTCTTCTTTTGGCCTCGGCGAAATCCACTTTAAATTGGCTGGGATGTTTAACTCTTTAGTCCTGGCTTGTTCAGGTATCACGAGGYTCTGACRGAGTGAAAAAGGCARTGGTGCTTCCAATATGGAGAAAAAAACAACCCTGAAGGAATGAGAGGTGAAATAGCTGTTGTGGAAAATGCACTCATTTCTTTAAACAGCAGGAATCTTTAAAAAAAACACCCAAATTTAGAAAAATCTGTTCCTATCACCTCTAATGCAACAAAGCTTTTCATGTTATGATTTCTGGGGTCTGAAGCCGAAAATTAACCGAGTAACAAGCACTGCCATCACAATTTTTCTCCTTAAGATGTCCTTTGCTGGGTGAGGCAACTTCTGAAATTCAGGCTTTATGTGAGAAGCATTTTCTTTTGAGAAAATGCTTCTCTTTTTTTCTGAGAAAAGAGAAAATGAAAATGAAAAATGCTTGCTTTTATTCTGAGAAGCAGAAACTCCTGTGCCCGGTTTAAAGTCGTATAGTATCACTTCAGCAATTTTGGAAAAAAAAAGAGATAATTAATAAAAATTAATGCAAAMTACATTTAAAATAAGATTAAAACATCAAACTGAGATAGCAAATTGCTTCAGATGCTTGGACATTTCTGACTCAGCATCAAACATAGTGTATTACAGGAACACGGTTGTAACCAAAAAAAAGTTTTAAAAAGTTTGTGTATGTTCAAAACTAACATGTAGTAAAGACAGATGCACAACTTTTGAATGTTATTATGGGTTTGTAGTTATGACACAGGGTAAATAATTTATCTGTTTCTGTTGTGAGCTCTGTAAAAGCTGCCCATTTTTAAATTCTAGATCCAGGACACCAGACAGGCCTCCTGAACTCGTGTTTTTATTTACTGCTGCACTACTAATACAGAAATGCTCACTTTTACCAGCAGGTGTTTTGCTCACAGTGTCAACCGGTGTTACTAAATAATGAATATATTAGAATAAATATTTTTACTCATACTACATGTTAAAAAAATACACATATTCTGACAGTATTTTTGGTTATTTTAAGTTTTAAATGCCAATGTTGCCTTTATGTTGTGAGGTGGTTTATCAGTGAGGCTGTGTGGAACAGGGTGTCCCCCATCCACACAGAAATTCTCCTTTGGCTCCCGGCACAGGATGAAGATGCCCTTTGGAAGCTGTCCCTGTTCTCTGCTAGTTCTTGAAATCCACCCAGAAATTGTTTGGAACGGTGTTGCGGGGCATGAGCCAAACAATTCAGCGAATTAACCTAACAATTTAACACCCCTAGTGGCTGAATTTCAGGCACCTGGAAAATTYAATTTAATGATACAAACATAGCCGTAATTTTCCAGGGTGTAATCCTCACTTGTCACTGTTGCCAAACAACAGTTGTGTCCCGCTGGAGCTGAAATCACACTGTTGCTTGGAAGAAGCTGGTTTATGACTGGTTTTGTCAGTGGTTCTGAAAAGTATTTTGTGGGGATGTTGGTTGTCTGCAAGCTTGCAACAGCAGCTGCAGCTGGCGTGTGATTTCGTGTGAAATGATGAAATATGGGGATTCCCAGCCTTTCCTCTTGTATTTCCTGTTTCTCTGCAAGCAGCTTTGATAAAAAATTATTATCTGATGGCTGAGTAGTTTTCAGATAATATTTTTTGTATTAATTTCTTGGTGAGTCACAAGAAGAAAAAATGTCTATTTTCTATTTATTTGCCATATGTGGATTTTTGATGGCTGGCAAAGTTTTACTGGATTTGATTTCTAAATATGTTGGAAATTCTTGCATCAATAATTTGCTAAGTGACCTGTATTTCTATTTGTTTGTAAATTAGCAGACTTACTCTATCTTTCAACAATGCTATAATAGCAAAGACTTGTTGTAAAATTAATTATTTTTATCATCTTACCATTTCCCAGACTGTATTACAGTATGTTATTTCCTCATCATGAAATACTCCAGTAAAACCATCAGGGAGAAAAAGCATTTTATGGTTTTGGGGTTTTTTTTTTTGCTTGTTTTGTTGCCATTGTGTGAWTTTTTTATGGTGTTGCAATGCTTCTGAGGATTTTAGAGTGCAATAAGTGAGGTATTGCAAGGGACGTGCCTTTGATGCTAAACTGCACAAGACACTGGTAATAGGAGGAAATGATTTTGCAAGGTGGAATGGCTTTTTTTGTGCCACTTCAGTGCCCTTTATGGTTTGTTGTAGCTGTTGTCTAATTCAGTGGGAATTGTGTGTGTGTGTAAAACCAAATGTGGCTTTCAGACAGATCCCATCTTAACCAAAGCCATCCTCACTCCAGACCTCCCTCTCCAAAGGTCTCACATGGTTCAGAAACTGCTGAAATTGTTAAAGTCCTTTTCAGAATCAGAAAAACCCCAAATAAAAGTGCGCTTAATTTGGTTTGTATTATTATTTGTAGTGTGTGCAGATAAACATGGCTATGAAAAATTGAACAAAAGCTATCTATTGACAAATGCTATATTTGTAGTGATCTTTGATGTGTAGGAAAGGACACCAGGCCCATCACTGACTAAAAAAATCTGCTTCAAAAAGCAAATTTTGGGGGTATTTTGTCATGATCAGTAGCTGCCACTAGAGGGAGAAACATCATTTATGCCATCTTTTATCTCTCATTTTTAATAYTATTTTCATTCTACCCACTGTTTTTCAGGATTGTAACCACACCTAAGTGAGGCTACAGAAACAACTCAAATTACACAAGTTTTTTGCYATTTTTGCCATTAACACATTTTTTTTTTTTTGCCTTCTCAGGTGTTGTGTTTCACTACCGCGCCGCCACCAGCAGGTACACCCTGAATTTCACGCAGGCCCACCAGACCTGCCGGGACAACGGGGCCATCATGGCCAGCCCTGAGCAGCTGAAGGCTGCCTAYGAGGATGGTTTTGAGCAGTGTGATGCTGGCTGGGTGTCTGACCAAACCGTCAGGTGAGGCTTTAAAAAGGACCCTTTTGCACATTTCACCAAAATTTGTGTGCCTTGCCCGTGCAGAATTCAACTGCTGATTCGCTGTCATAATAAATTTTGCTTTGTGATGTGTTTCAGGTATCCGATTAGACACCCGAGAGTTGGCTGCTTTGGGGATAAAATGGGAAAAAAAGGGGTCAGGACATATGGGCGCCGCTTCCCCAATGAGACATACGATGTTTATTGCTACGTGGAGCGCATGGAAGGTAAGATGGGTCTGCAGAACCTGAGAGTTCCTTGCAAGGCTTAAAAAATGACTGGCCCAACGTGGAGGGGCAGAGAAATAGGAAATTATGTTTAAAATAAATTTTGGCTGCTTTGGGAATTGCCAAACAGAGGGAACCTACAGTTTGTGGTCTTGCAGGTCTTAATTAAAGGCCAGTGTGGASTCTACAAAGAGGCAGTCAGGGTTGAAGCTGCCTATAGTTAGTGCAGARTATCTCACAAAAGTTGCTGCTGAAGCAACTTATTTTTTGAATGTTATAAAAGAATTTTTGAAAGAAATGCATTTTGAAAGAAATGCATAGTTTGAGAAACTATATGTACTATATATAAGTGTATACAAAGATAGATATAGTATACATGCTATATAGTTCATAAAGTGTGTAATTAAGTCTTTTTATTTGTCCGTGGCATAAAATTAGATATTGAATTGTCCTCTATGTTTAATATCATCTTTTTATTAAGGGGTCATCTCAGATTCAAAAAGAAAAAAAAAAGAAGAAAAACTTTGTAGTTTCTGGATCTTGTGTAGTAAAATTATTAGAGATACTTTACAACCAAAATATTTTCCGCTTACTACAGTGCCCTAAGTATGTCACACTGCTTCTCTTTGACAGGTTTTTGTTCCATACCAGTTCCACAGTTCCTTTCTGAAAAAAAAAACCAAAAAAAACAAAAAAAAAACAAAAAACCCTGCTAATTTCTAATTAAACATCTTTGGGGATGATCCTTCASTGTTACACATTTAATTCAGTGCTCTTGCAGTCAAGAGAATGGTAAATCAGCCATGACGCTGAGCACTCCTGACTTTGTAGGTACATATAATTTTATGTATCTACATACATAATTTTATGTACCTTTGTGTGTACATATAATTTTGCAAAGCAATTGGAAAATGCAGCTTCTCAGTGTTTGTTTGTAATCTGTCCTAGATAAGATAAAGATTGGATCATGCAAATTTTTTTCCTGCTGATCACTTACAGGTTTTTGTGACTGAAACCAATAAGTGTTTTGCTTAATAACTGAAAATTTGTCCCAGACCATTTCAATTTCAAGTTGGAGATCTATACAATACAAGCAACACAGGCATTGCAAAGCCTCCAGAAAATATATATGCTTGAGAATTTGAAACTTGAACTTAAAAATTGGCAGAATTTTGTTGTTTTAATTTTAGTTATGTCCCATTTATATCTGTTAGTGAGCAGCACCTCATCTACATCTACATCTGTCATCTACAGCCACATTTGATCTCCATCAGTCTTTGATGGGATTGAATTCTGAATCACCTCTAACTCAAGGTTTTTAAATTCAGTTTCTGCCTTTCATAGCTTGCAAAAAGAAGTTTYAGTCAAAAACCTAATCTGTATCACTTCTGGGTGTAGAGCAATTCCTTGTTCCTTTCTCTCTTCAAGAGCAGAGAAGTGAAACTGATACAGAGAAGCTAATCCTGGATGCATGTCAGCCAGCAATTCCTCAGGGTCCAATATTCTTACTAAACTTTCAAAAGAAGTCAAAACTGACTAAAAGAAGTCAAAACTGAAACATTTTTCACTGAGGCTGATGGCCTCTGCTTGGAACAACCTGGAACCAGACTCGTGTGTGGTTCAAAGAGGCTGCAGTGACGGTGCAATCCTCACAGCTGAAAACATGCAGGTCCTCCATTACTCATGGACATTGATTGGTTCTTCTTTGTTGTAAAATTTAATTTAGCAAGATTTAGGACCTGGTTTCCCTCTCTGACCTCATCCACATGTCTGTCCTACCGTTGCAAGTTAGGGCAGAATAAGGTGGAGATCTGGTTCATTATATTGAACAAGTTTTATGCCATATTATTATAATAGTTAGCCAAAGACACTCCCCAGCTTAGTTTCCCTTTTGTTGTTGTTATTGTTATTTGTTGGTTTGTTTTGGGTTTGTTTGTGTGGGTTTTTGTTGGTTTTTTTTTTCCTTTTTTTGGTGGTGTTTTTGGTATTTTTTTTGTGTGTGTGTGAGAGATTTTATTTTTTTTTTTCATTCTTTTAGGAGTTTTGAAATTGTTAGGAGTGTGAAAGGAAATTCTATGACCTCCAGAAGGAGTTTATGGGTACAAGGTATAGAAACAGCATAGGCAGRTTATACTGAGATCAATGAGTTTTTATTTCTYATAATGAGAAYCACTCACCCACACAGTGRTCTAAGACAGAGATTTAGACCAAAWATTRGTKGAGTTATTGGAAGGAGAAGGTTGCACTAAACTAGATTATTGTGTTGATAGGGAATTTCATGTTCATGATTTAAAATTATGCCAAATTTTTGATGGTCCTRTCCACCAAAGGCTGATYYTGAAAGGTATGACCTTTAGCTCATKACTTAATTCACAAATAARAAGCCTTCCATGGCACTTAGGCTGTTCTGAAATAATGCTGAAATACAACTTTTTCTATGCCAGTTTGAAAAGCTTATATCTGTGCACCCTGCTCGGATTCGATGCCAAATCTATAAGACTTTCTTGCACTCAACAGTTCCTTATTTGGAGGGTCTGTGCTGRTGGAATGACTATTCATGGCACAAACTGGTGCCTGACTGATGATATCAAAATTTGGGCTGGGACGAGGGTGTCACCGTGGAAGCCATTGAACAGTTATTGGTCTCTTGGCTGCTTCTGCTGTGTCACCCCAGAAAGCCATAAATGGTGGTGGGAATTCCAGCAATACATTATAAAAAAAAAAAAAAAATGTGCATTGAAATTGCAGTACTAATTTGGGTATTTGCACTGAGGATTTGTAGGAGCAACTCCATCTCAATTTTATTCCTTTTTGGCCATATGGAATCGTGAAGTTAGCCAGAGACATGGATTTCTCCTTAAATCACAAACTATTATCTTAAATTAAAACCAGTTATCTAGGCTAACTCTTACCATTTCCTTGTTCTGAGGAAAGCCAGAAAGATTAAAGGATGAATAATCTTAATTTAAATAGCATGAGTTTTGCTGCAACAGTCTGAAGAATAACTGCAGGAAGGATTTAAAAATTTCTGAGCTCCTAGAGATAAAAATGAGAACCTGGAGTCAAAAGGTACTCTCTTGTTATGAACTGTTACATTCCTCATATTTCMTTGCATATTTCAGCGTACCAAGCAACAACAGAAACATTTAGGATACTTTTAACTGAGGAAGTGATTTACTGTTAGAGAGTTTAAAATGATTGAGCTGTAAAAGTTTGGGTGAGGTTCTCTCAGCACCAAAGGTGTGTCTCCTGTGGAATAATCCCTTGGATGGAGATGTGTGGTGGGGGAGAAGAGTGTGAATTCTTCAGATGAGCAGTGTGTGGTTAATTCAGTATGAGAGGTGGAGATAAAATGCTCACCAAAGGTGGAGAGTGAGGGTTTCTGCTGAACCACCCCATCAGGATTGTGTCTGGCCAGCCCCACTCAGAACGTGCCTCTGTCATGTGAAAATGGGGCACTCACACCAGGAGAGGGTTATTTTTGGGGTGTCTGTGGGGAAGATGGTACAGCTTCCCTTCCATGCAGCATCTCCCCCCGCAGTGAGAGCAGGGAAGGAGGAGAAAAACCAAAACCAGATGTCCTTGGAATACTTTCCACCTACTCTCATGCGGTTTTTGCTATTGTCATGGAAATTTCTGTCAGAGTGATGGTCATAGTTAAAGGAGTGTAAAATATTAACTGCATTAATATTCTGTTATAATATTAAATTGTAAATATAATTAAATAGTGCAAAATACAGGTGAGAAGTTTCTTCTGTGTTTTGGGCAACTAACCATCTTCCCTGGAGTGTGTTTCTGGAGCAACAGCTAGATTAGATTTCAAAACTGGGACAACACAGAAGAGAGATTTTTTTTTCTAGCTCGGGGCCTGTGGTAGAATTAATAACTTTTGCATCATGCTGGACACTTATCCAGCATGACCTGTATGGATTTATATCATGCAGGGTTAAGTTCTCAAGAGGATTCCTGGTCAGCCAGTGTGTTTGCACAGAATAGACTCAGGACATCCAGGAGGGTTTAATTAAATCATTGCTGCTGTGCATCAAAAGGAACCAAATTACTTGTTCTGGCGTGCAAAAGAACTCTTCTCCAGCTTGTCCAGCCTCCTGCTTTAAAACTGAACCAAGATGTGTAGGTGCTTGTGGTTTTCCAGCCCTGCAGGGAGGTTTTGGTAATTAGTGACTTTGTTAAGGACACTTTATTACCCTGGTGTGTCAGTGAACCAGAGTACAGCACAGAAAGAGAGGAGAGGAATGTGGAAGTTCTTGGTCCTGAAGGCAACAGGCTTTAGTCCTCAGAGTGATGATGGCATTCCCTCTTCTCTGCACACTCGATTGTGTCCTAGAAATGAAGCTTGGAACAGATTTCACATTTCTGAGGAAAAGAAAGTCCTGAAGGCAGAGTGTCATGACTGTCTGGGCTCTGACCTGCTGGCCATGCRGCTGTGAGGAGCAGTAACAGGTGAGAAAATGCCCTTAGAATGCTCTGTATAATATCAGAAAAGATGGCATTTTGTCACTTTTAGCCARCTTTTGTACCTGACCCAGGTCACCCTTATCTGCTGTAGTCACAGAACCCAGAAGTTCCAGCACTCCCAAAGGACATCTTTGCTTGATGAACTTGTGGGTTCCATCTCTCAGAAACCAAGGAACAGGTCTGGAGTTCCTCCACA